TTGGTACTTTCTGGCGGTCCATCACTACATATTGGTACTTTCTGGTGGTCCATCACTACATATTGGTACTTTCTGGTGGTCCATCACTACATATTGGTACTTTCTGGTGGTCCATCACTACATATTGGTACTTTCTGGCGGTCCATCACTACATATTGGTACTTTCTGGTGGTCCTTCACTACATATTCGTACTTTCTGGTGGTCCTTCACTACATATTGGTACTTTCTGGTGGCCCATCACTACATATTGGTACTTTCTGGTGGTCCTTCACTACATATTGGTACTTTCTGGTGGTCCATCACTACATATTGGTACTTTCTGGCGGTCCATCACTACATATTGGTACTTTCTGGTGGTCCTTCACTACATATTGGTACTTTCTGGTGGTCCATCACTACATATTGGTACTTTCTGGCGGCCCATCACTATTTATTGGTACTTTCTGGCGGCCCATCACTATTTGTTGGTACTTTCCACCAAATACTTTCTATAAGTACTTACGTTTCAGGAGGATGGGTTTTATTCTAGAACGCAGCTTGGGGCATCTAAGGTGGATGCCCAAAGCCGTCCCAGCTGGATACACGGATGCAGTGCACTGGATGAGTGGGAGCAGCTGGATGCACGGATGCAATGCATTGGATGAGTTTAGCCGCAATACAACTTTTAAAGTGCTCCATATTTTGGTGGTATGTGAACGGTTTGTTGAGGAAAATTATAATATTATCTGGAAGTATAGACTGACTCTCGTATTCCTGGGATTCGATTTACCATTATTGAAAAGTATTGAATGACTCTTGAAATGTAGTTTTATTTTTGGGCTCTTTCCAGCATCGTTGTATTCAATATGAACTTTATAACAAAAAAAATATTTCTTTCCTTAAAATTTCTTAAAATAAATATGTTTTTTTTTTTCGAAAGCAATCTGTTGTATCTGATGCTTAAGCTTTTTGATGCTAAAGCTGTTTTTTTAAGCTTAAGCTGGTGAACCTGGAGCCCAAACTTCATAGATCGCAAGCTGACCTTTTTTGAAACGGATGTTGGTGTTAATGGGGCGCTTCTTGATGTATGGGAACCCCGCATGACCTTTCTGGAAAGCCACTAGACTATTCCTGAATGAAATCTATTTCTTTTTTGTGCGTGTAACATACATGACCTGTATGGAACGTGGCCTGACCATGTTGAATATTATCTGATCTCCCAGAATGCAATATTTTTGTTTTCTGAGCCGCAGATGATCATCTGTGGCACACTTGCAGGCCGTCCAGAACAGATGGTTAAGACAGGTGTTGTGTTTCGCGCGCCCTCGTCTCTCTGCAAGACTGCTACGTCATACCAGAATGCAAGTTTGCTTGCTCTGGAATGTTACTCGGTTGCAATGTGATGTGGTTGCAATAACACGGTACCTACTCCTCTAAAATGTCATCTCGATATTACGGACCACGATTTGGTTTTCTTAGATTTTTGTAAATTATGTTGGAAGCCAATTTATCCACCTGGGAATTCAAACAAGAATTTGCCAAACATACATGAATGCTTCGCTTCCTCTGGAGCACCAAATGGTTTTATTGTAAAGCCATCGTGTCCCTCGACGGGGCGAATTAGTGAGATTTTTTTTAATTATCAGTGGAAAGCGCCAAGCCATTACGACTTTATAGCACTTGGAAAGGGTCAGGATAAGGATTTAGGATGGGACGAGGGGGAAGGAATGATACCCAACCACTTGGACCGTCGGGGATTGAACGCCGACCTGCATGGCTAGGTAAATACGCCAGCAGCCGGCTTAGTGTCTGGTGGTCGTTGGTGTTACATCATAACCCAAGATGGTTACGAGAGCGGGAGTCCACTCGGGCAGTCCGGGCACGATCACTTAGACAGGTTTGCGAGAAATAGGGTGGAACCGGTTGTACACACATCCACACATACTTGCAAGGAATCACATTGAAATGAGTAAAATATGTATGAGTGTTTGCGTATATTTCTACACATCACTAGAGACTTACGGTTGAAAGACACACTTACGCGGGAAGTACACATTCGCCTACACAGTTAACACACCTATAACACTGTGCTAATTATATTCCCATGCAGCATCTGATAGACCAAATTAACAGTCAAACACGAACACTTTATCGTCTTGCCACAAAAACCAGCATTAAAGCATTATCCGATGCTTAAGGCCAGCTTAATAGCCTCGTCTCGCTCACTACAAGAGACACCGCTAACACTGACGCATTAATTAACAATACTATGAAACACTAACAATACCAAGGCCAGGTCTGATCACTGTGCCACCAGTAACAACCTGGATGTTCAACACAATAGAAAACAAGTTCCACATTAAAAAGCCCATTTAAGACCGAATTTCTTCAGAGTTCAGTATAAGACCTAAATTATTCATAGACCATTTGAACACCGAATTTTCTCAGGCTGCGTATGACAAACTGTTGTTGGTTGTGTTACAGGAGACAGCTGCCCGAGGAGACAGCTGCCCGAGGCGCCAGTAGGCAAGCAGGTCAGTCAGTCCAGCCATTAACATTTAGGAAGTCGAGGGTTAGTTTTTGCTGCCTTGAGTTGGCTATACTACGCCGGAGGTTGCCAGCTCCGCGCCGTGTTGGATGCGTCTCACTTGCGAAACCTTTTTATCTCTCGGTGTTTTTGTGTTGGGTTCCCGGCACCGCTCATCGGCGCGGGTCATCTCTGCCTCTTACTGTTCTTAGTTGATACCTGGGTTCATGTACCAGTGGAAGACATTATGTATATGTGTATACTCTTGCGTATGTTCGTGTGTGCGTGTGTGTGTGTGTGTGTGTGTGTGTGTGTGTGTGTGTGTGTGTGTGTGTGTGTGTGTGTGTGTGTGTGTGTGTGTGTGTGTGTGTGTGTGTGTGTGTGTGTGCGTGTGTGTGTGTGTGTGTGTGTGTGTGTGTGTGTGTGTGTGTGTGTGTGTGTGTGTGTGTGTGTGTGTGTGTGTGTGTGTGTGTGTGTGTGTGTGTGTGTGTGTGTGTGTGTGTGTGTGTGTGTGTGGGCTGCTCTGGTGTGTGTGTGTGTGTGTGTGTGTGTGTGTGTGTGTGTGTGTGTTTGTGTGTGTGTGTGGACTGGTCTGGTGTGTGTGTGTGTGTGTGGGCTGGTCTGGTGTGTGTGTGCGTGTGTGGGCTGGTCTGGTGTGTGTGTGTGTGTGTGGGCTGCTCTGGTGTGTGTGTGTGTGTGTGTGTGTGGGCTGCTCTGGTGTGTGTGTGTGTGTGTGTGTGTGTGTGTGTGTGGGCTGCTCTGGTGTGTGTGTGTGTGTGGGGGGGGGGGGTGGTCTGGTGTGTGTGAGCAGATGACTGTGATTCGTGTACACGTGGACAATGGAAGCAATACTTTGTTCGGAATCTGGACCTCTGTAGCTCTGTACTGACTTTTGGTAATTAAATACTATTTTTTTTAAACATCAGAGGTATATCTTTGGAGAGAGGTGAACATGCTTACATACATACACATACTCAACCACATGCGCGCGTACACACGCACATAACACACACACACACACGCATACACACATACACACACACACAGGTAGATTTGAGTACTCAAATGACCCAGATAGACATTAGAAAGAACTTTTTCAGTGCCAGAGTAGTTAGTAAATGGAATGCACTAGGAAGTGATGTGGTGGAGGCTGACTCCATACACAGCTTCAAATGTAAATATGAAATAACTCGAGAAGCTCAGGAATCTGTACACCAGTAGATTGATGGTTGAGAGGCGGGACCAAAGAGCAGAAGCTCAACCCTCGCAAGCACAACTAGGTGAGTAGACACACACATTATATATATCTATGAGACCCCCGTAAAAATTACAGTGAGGTTTCACTCACACAGAGTGAAACCTCAAACCTCAAACACACACTATGAACACAAGTGTGTTCATAGTGTGTGTTTGAGTCCTTGAATGCTGTTGAAAATCGAAGGAAACATTTAAGAAGAACTAGAAATATGGCTGCCGTGCTAACATCGTCACTAAGGTGGGACTCGAACTCACCAGAGACAACCTTTGTGGGGAAAAAAAGTTTGTCGATATTAGTAGTTTAATTCCTAGAAATGATCGCGGGCCGCTCCAAGCAACAGCCTGGTGGACCAAACTCTCACAAGTCAAGCCTGGCCTCGGGCCGGGTTTAGGGAGAAGAAGAACTCCCAGAACCCCCATCAACCAGATATCATCCAGGTAAATCCTCCGATAACAGCATGTTTCTACATCGCCTCTTGATATGTTACTCTCGCAAGGATAAAAATATGCTAGTAAGCTAGATATGCTGGAATATGCTAGTATATATGCTGGTAAGCATAGTTAATGTGTGGCCACGTCTGTGGTAGAAAATAATAATAATAAAAGAAGCATAAGAATCACATTGAGTCAAAAGATATCAGGGTTTTTCTTTATAAATAATATTTATAATAATTAAAATAGGTACATCACTTATAAGATTACTGTAAACAAAAGAGACACAGATATTGTGACAATTTTTAGCCTCAAGCTGTGTACCTCAGACTTTGGCAATATTGGGACAAAAGAGATGAACAAAGCATGTTGACCAGATCACACACTAGAAGGTGAAGGGACGACGACGTTTCGTCGTCCGTCCTGGACCATTCTCAAGTCGATTGTAAGAATGGTCCAGGACGGAGCGAAACGTCGTCGTCCCTTCACCTTCTAGTGTGTGGTCTGGTCAACATACTTTAGCCACGTTATTGTGACTCATCGCCTGCACGTGAACAAAGCATTGTTCCACACACACTCAAACGTCATCAATTATGAGTAGTGAACAAATTGTTTTTATTTATAAATAGGGAGTTAAGCAGCTGAATTAACGAGTAGTTATCAGTTGTTAACGAAGACGGGTTGAAGAAATCACCTTTTAGAGGCCTGGTTTTCTCCTCAAGAACACTATCAGATTAACAAGAACCTTCGACAGGAAAGATCGACTGAGATTCGTCGATGGAACTGGGTTCTGCTCCTTGATTGATGATCCTCACCATCACCGTCCACCGGACAGATCTACACCATCACCGTCCACCGGACAGATCTAAACCATCACCGTCCACCGGACAGATCCTCACCATCACCGTCCACCGGACAGATCCTCACCATCACCGTCCACTGGACAGATCCTCACCATCACCATCCACCGGACAGATCCGCTTCATCACCATCCACCGGACAGATCCTCACCATCACCGTCCACCGGACAGATCCGCACCATCACCGTCCACCGGACAGATCCGCTCCATCACCATCCACCGGACAGATCCTCACCATCACCGTCCACCGGACAGATCTGCACCATCACCGTCCACCGGACAGATCCGCACCATCACCGTCCACCGGACAGATCCGATCCATCACCGTCCACCGTACAGATCCGATCCATCACCGTCCACCGGACAGATCTACACCATCACCGTCCACCGGACAGATCTGCACCATCACCGTCCACCGGACAGATCCTCACCATCACCGTCCACCGGACAGATCTACACCATCACCGTCCACCGGACAGATCCTCACCATCACCGTCCACCGGACAGATCCGATCCATCACCGTCCACCGGACAGATCCGCATCATCACCGTCCACCGGACAGATCCGATCCATCACCGTCCACCGGACAGATCCGCACCATCACCGTCCACCGGACAGATCCGATCCATCACCGTCCACCGGACAGATCCTCACCATCACCGTCCACCGGACAGATCCGATCCATCACCGTCCACCGGACAGATCTGCACCATCACCGTCCACCGGACAGATCCTCACCATCACCGTCCACCGGACAGATCCGATCCATCACCGTCCACCGGACAGATCCTCACCATCACCGTCCACCGGACAGATCCGATCCATCACCGTCCACCGGACAGATCCGCACCATCACCGTCCACCGGACAGATCCGATCCATCAGCGTCCACCGGACAGATCTACACCATCACCGTCCACCGGACAGATCTGCACCATCACCGTCCACCGGACAGATCCGATCCATCACCGTCCACCGGACAGATCTGCACCATCACCGTCCACCGGACAGATCCTCACCATCACCGTCCACCGGACAGATCTACACCATCACCGTCCACCGGACAGATCTACACCATCACCGTCCACCGGACAGATCTACACCATCACCGTCCACCGGACAGATCTACACCATCACCGTCCCATCCAGCGCAGACCGTCCTCATCAACATGCGCCAAATGCGCATTAATCCACTCATCAAACCTCCACGTTACGAATGACAAGCACACTGCGCACGACGCAAAACTGTTCCCGCTCGAACTTTGCCCAGCAAGTCCGTCGTTCAAGACAACTGTTCGTATCGCAGCGGAGTAAATGAATCACTCATGTACTGAGAACACATATAATTACCATCAGAAACATATGGTGCTCCATAGGAGCCGGTCGGCCGAGCGGACAGCACGCTGGACTTGTGATCCTGTGGTCCTGGGTTCGATCCCAGGCGCCGCCGAGAAATAATAGGCAGAGTTTCTTTCACCCTATGCCCCTGTTACCTAGCAGTAAATAGGTACCTGGGTGTTAGTCAGCTGTCACGGGCTGCTTCCTAGGGGTGCAGGCCTGGTCGAGGACCGGGCCGCGGGGACACTAAAGCCCTGAAATCATCTCAAGATAACCTCAAGATAGCCTCCCCGGCTCGTTCTTTGATAATTACTTGTTATTGGAGATGATATCATGTCTCCAGGCGGTTGAGACCTGGCCGGACCAACACAACTTGTGACGACTGAACAACCAGTTTGATTATTCAACCACTTCTGAGGTAGTTAGTGGTACTTGTTTGACTCTCCTTCTCCCTCTCTATGTCTCATCTCCCTCTCTATGTCTCATCTCCCTCTCTATGTCTCATCTCCCTCTCTATGTCTCATCTCCCTCTCTATGTCTCATCTCCCTCCTCTACTTCTTTTTACCTCATTTCCCTCCACTACTTAGCAGCTCCTTCTCATCTAACCTTTCCTCTTCCCTCTCTTCCCCTCCCTCATGCTCAGTTCCCTCCCTCCCTCCCTCCCTCCACAGCACTCCAGTGTTGGCAGCAAGAATGATGGGAGTGCCTCCAGCGCCTCTCACTATCTCTCTCACTATATCTCATTATCTCTCACCATCTGGTACTAAAATTGTCACTCCATTGCACGGAGAACTGAGAGTGATGTAACACTGGTGACCGGGAAGATTGTGTTGTGAGTCTGTCTGTCTGTCTGTCTGTCTGTCTGTCTGTCTGTCTGTCTGTCTGTCTGTCTGTCTGTCTGCCTGTCTGTCTGTCTGTCTGCCTGTCTGTCTACGACTGTCTTCCTCTGTTTTAACCGCTCACTCTCGGTATTATAGTGAAAATATACTGAGAAGTAAAAATTATGTGAAATAGTAAAAGTATGTAAAATAGACTTTTACACACTGAAAAGTCTGTTTCAAGATTGAAAACCCGTTGCTAAGACGTTGCAAGAATTAACATCAACGCCATAACAATGGTCCAAATATTCTCCGCCAGAGCTCCGACTAGGTCATAAACAGTAAAGTGCTCGTAAGGGCTCATGTCAACACCGGAAATCCTATAACAATTTATACGAGCTCCGAGAACACGTTAAAAACTCCACTAACTCAAGTCTCCTTCATCCTCCTCACTTTAAGCTGCTGTTCCAAGCTCAGAACCCTGTTGCCAGATTCACGAAGCAGTTACGCAAGCACTTACGAACGTGCACATCTTTCGTAAATTTTTGACGGCTTTGGTTACATGTATTAAGCAGTTTACAAGCGTGAAAACTTGCCAATCAACTGTTGTTATTGTTATAAACAGCCTCCTTGTGCTTCGGAACTCAGACTGGAATTTATAATATATATTAATGTATTTTAAATCTGACTAGCCATTAGATAAGTATAATTGATATATTGCAAGAGACAATTGTTTGTGAATGGAAGCAGTGTCTGCCAGGTTCTTGTATACTGTGTCAGACAGGTCCTTGTATACTGTGTCAGACAGGCCCTTGTATACTGTGTCAGACAGGCCCTTGTATACTGTGTCAGACAGGTCCTTGTATACTGTGTCAGCCAGGCCCTTGTATACTGTGTCAGACAGGTCCTTGTATACTGTGTCAGACAGGTCCTTGTATACTGTGTCAGCCAGGCCCTTGTATACTGTGTCAGCCAGGCCCTTGTATACTGTGTCAGACAGGTCCTTGTATACTGTGTCAGACAGGTCCTTGTATACTGTGTCAGCCAGGCCCTTGTATACTGTGTCAGACAGGCCCTTGTATACTGTGTCAGCCAGGCCCTTGTATACTGTGTCAGACAGGTCCTTGTATACTGTGTCAGACAGGTCCTTGTATACTGTGTCAGCCAGGCCCTTGTATACTGTGTCAGACAGGTCCTTGTGTACTGTGTCAGGTCCTGTATACATGTATCAGTGTTAGCGTGTTATTGTATTCTATGAATACACTACCAAGTACCATAGTTGGGTAGTTTGACATATTGCAGGAGTAAGATCTCCCAGAGTAAGATCTTACAGGTCCCGGTGTATAGGTATTGCTTGCAGCGAGCAGTTGTTGACATATGCACTATGGCGGAGATTGATGTTATGACCCCAACTGTAGAAGGGAATATATTAGAGAGTTATCTCTTATGTGTATGGGGGCAAGATATGTAGTTATGTGTCTATGGGGCAAGATATGTGGTTATGTATGGGGCAAGATATGTGGTTATGTAGGGGGCAAGATATGTGGTTATGTATGGGGCAAGATATGTGGTTATGTATGGGGCAAGATATGTGGTTATGTATGGGGCAAGATATGTGGTTATGTATGGGGCAAGATATGTGGTTATGTATGGGGCAAGATATGTGGTTATGTGTATGGGGCAAGATATGTGGTTATGTGTATGGGGCAAGATATGTGGTTATGTGTATGGGGCAAGATATGTGGTTTTATGTGTATGGGGGCAAGATATGTGGTTTGATGTGTATGGGGCAAGATATGTGGTTTTATGTGTATGGGGCAAAATATGTGGTTATGTGTATGGGGCAAGATATGTGGTTATGTGTATGGGGCAAGATATGTGGTTATGTGTATGGGGCAAGATATGTGGTTATGTGTATGGGGCAAGATATGTGGTTATGTGTATGGGGCAAGATATGTGGTCTTATGTGTATGGGGCAAGATATGTGGTTTTATGTGTATGGGGCAAGATATGTGGTTTTATGTGTATGGGGCAAAATATGTGGTTATGTGTGTATGGGGGCAAGATATGTGGTTTTATGTGTATGGGGCAAGATAAGTGGTTATGTGTTTATGAATGTATATGTGTTGGTGATCGTTGGGGATTACATCAGCTGGTCGACAAGTCCCAACTGGTCGACAAGTCCCAACTGGTCGACAAGTCCCAGCTTGTCGACAAGTCCCAGCTGGTCAACAAGTCCCAACTGGTCGACAAGTCCCAACTGGTCGACAAGTCCCAACTGGTCGACAAGTCCCAACTGGTCGACAAGTCCCAACTGGTCGACAAGTCCCAACTGGTCGACAAGTCCCAACTGGTCGACAAGTCCTAACTGGTCGACAAGTCCCAACTGGTCTCTCGTGAGTCAATCCGTTCTCCTAAGGTTTCCCCAACCTCATAAAAGGCCAATTTAAAGTAGTGTCTCCTAAACTACCAGAGGACCCACAACAGAAAACGGGACAGTACGTCACTTTCGCCAGCAGCTTCCATTTTCTAGTGCGACAATCTTTGGCCATATGTAACGCATACGGCCGAAATACGACGTTCTCTGTAAGAGGACAGGTGGTGTGAGTAGCTAACATTTGGCCATAGAGGTAAAGGGTTCTCTGGAGACTGGTATTATACACGGATCACGTGAATTGCTGTCGTTGGTTCGAGGTTTGCAGGGTTAAGAACCTGGACGGTGTTATAATATTGTTGTTGTTGTTGTTGTTGTTTAAGATTCGCTATTTGGAACAAAAAGTTCCAAGTAGCACGGGCTATGGTGAGCCCGTAGTTTGATTATATACTTGAGGTCTCACAAGCTATCCTGTGACAGGTCCCACAAACTATCGAGTGACAGGTCCCACAAACTATCCAGTGTCGGGTCCCACAAACTATCCAGTGTCGGGTCCCACAAACTATCCAGTGTCGGGTCCCACAAACTATCCAGTGACGGGTCCCACAAGCTATCCTGTGACAGGTCCCACAAACTATCGAGTGACAGGTCCCACAAACTATCCAGTGACAGGTCCCACAAACTATCCAGTGACAGGTCCCACAAACTATCCAGTGACAGGTCCCACAAACTATCCAGTGACGGGTCCCACAAACTATCCAGTGACGGGTACCACAAACTATCCAGTGACAGGTCCCACAAACTATCCAGTGACGGGTCCCACAAACTATCCAGTGACGGGTCCCACAAACTATCCAGCGACAGGTCCCACAAACTATCGAGTGACAGGTCCCACAAACTATCCTGTGACAGGTCCCACAAACCATCCAGTGACAGGTCCCACAAACTATCCAGTGACAGGTCCCACAAACTATCGAGTGACAGGTCCCACAATCTATCGAGTGACGGGTCCCACAAACTATCCAGTGACGGGTCCCACAAACTATCCAGTGACGGGTCCCACTAACTATCCAGTGACGGGTCCCACAAACTATCGAGTGACGGGTCCCACAAACTATCGAGTGACAGGTCCCACAAACTATCCTGTGACAGGTCCCACAAACTATCCAGTGACAGGTCCCACAATCTATCCAGTGACGGGTCCCACAAACTATCGAGTGACAGGTCCCACAAACTATCGAGTGACGGGTCCCACAAACTATCGAGTGACAGGTCCCACAAACTATCGAGTGACAGGTCCCACAAACTATCCAGCGACAAGTCCCACGAGCCCCTCCATAATCAACCACAACAACTGAGCTACAATAATGACCGAGTCATAACGACTCCAAGACCAGCAATTTGTCAAGCCAATCTAGCTACCAGCAAGTCATCACCCAACCATTTGTGGCTCCCAGGAACTAGGTAATTGGGGAGAGAGAAGTCACCATTTAACGAGACTAAGAGTTTAGGAAACCTTTCCTCATCTCTAACGTTGAAGAGATTGAATGATTAAAAATTATCTTTCTTTTGTTAATGGCTTCATTCTCTCCCTTGGGCCGTTGGTGCTAATTGATTCAATGTTAGGACTCGGTGGGTGGACCGGCTTGGTGAGTCAG